CGCGGCTCGGCGCGGCGCGGCCTGGAAACGCCAGGAAAGCACCGCGTCGGCGGCCGTGAGGCTCTCTCGCCCTGCCGCCCCGCCAGCGACCCGCCGCCGCCTCCATCAGGACCCTGTTTTCGGTGCAATTAGGGCCGGGATGTAACTATCGGGCTTTGGGGAGAGGGAGGGAGGAGCCAGAGAGAGAGAGAGAGAGAGAGAGAGAGAGAGAGAGAGAGAGAGAGAGAGAGAGAGAGAGAGAGAGAGAAGGCGGCTGGACGTGAAAGCTGCCCGCTTACACAGACCAGGCCCAGCCAGGCCTCTCGCCTCTCGCCGGCCGCCCGGTAATTGAATCAAAGCAGGGGATGGTCCGAGGTCCATGGTCCATAGTCCACGGTCCGGTCCCGCGGATTTGGCAGGTGCGAGCCAGCGGCCCAGCGGCCAGCGCCATTGGCGGCACACTGTGTGCGGCGCACTGTTTGCCGCGCGCAGAGGCGCCCCGACCGACCGGGCCTGACCGGGCCCCACGGCAACGTGCCTCGGGCCGCGCCGGACGGACCGGGCCGGACCAGGACGGACACAGAGCCGCGCTCGTTCGCGGAAAATCGGGGGCGACCGTGTCATTTCGTGCTCCTTTTGTGAACAAACACAGGCGCGCATACACACGCACGCACGCACGCGTCGCCTGTGATTCGCGAACAGGCACGCAGCAGTGTCCAGGCTGCTGATGCCGTGTGCCAAAAACGTGAAAAAAAACGGAAACACGGCGCGAATTTTTAAAAAAAATCGACGGCTCAGATGAAAAAAATCGTTTAGTCGCCTTTATTTAGGTCAGAAAAAAACTGACTGACATATTATTTATTCCTGGGACAAAAAATAGCAGTGCCCGTTGCGGTGTTTGTTCTTCATTCTGAGCGTGACCCACGATTGACCGCCTCAGCCAGCAGCGGCCTCAGTGTCCGCTGGCGTTTCCAAAATAAATTAAAATGAGCCGTGCGGTGGCCGGTGGCGTGCAGCCCCGCCCCGCCTCGCCCCACCGCCCCTGGATTTGCCGCCACCGGTAAAGCCTGATAAATCACCCGGTCCGGCCCACCGCGGCCGTGGAGGCCATGAAGGCCATGAATCATGTGAAATCAAGTGCCGGGATGGATATTGCCGGAAATTCCGCGAGCTTTCCTTTTCTTCTTGTCCGCCTCCGCCGTTCTCAGGTCCTCGCGCCGCGCCTGCAAAGCGATGCGACTGGTGGTGGAAAAAAGGGAGGATGATGCGGGGATATTCGGCGCTGCGCGGCGCGGCACTGCGGGCCAGAACACTGGTAGAGGCGGCCAAAACTCCAGACGCGTTTTGATCTACACAGTTGCTGAATGGGACTCGAACCGAACGTGTGACTCCACCATTGGATGGCTCTCCGAACGAGGAACCCATAGGTGCGGTTCGAGTCCTTTTTAGCGACTGTGGAGCTCAAAACGCGTGTGGAGTTTTGGCCGCCTCCATCGGTCTTCTGGCCCACTGTGCGCGGTCACGCGGCCGAAAGCAAGTCGGGTCAGTAAACCTGATTGATCGGGCCACGGGGCCGCGGGGCGGCGGTTCTAAACTTAGTTCAAGTCGTGCCGTCTGAAGGTCAGGGCCCGGACAGTAACTGGCGGGGTCATGACCCACTAGGAGCCCCCGTCGCCCCATCCAATGGGGTCGCCTTGTGCCTCCACTGGAAACACGCCCTGGGTTTTGCGCGGCGCAGCGCTCGTGCTCGTTGCGGTGGCCGGAGCGCCCGCGGATCGCCGGGTAGGCAGCCCTCCCGCGCCGCTGGCCCGCGGGACGGCCTACCCGGCGCGGCGCTCTGCCTGCTGCTGTGCCTGCTGCTCTGCCTCAGCGCTGCAACACGGTACGGCCGCCGCCCTTTCTCTGTCGCACTCGCGCTCACTGTGCGCCCCGCAGTGGTGCGAGAGAGACAGAGCGACGACACACCGCGGCTCTCTAATTGTCCCAAAAAGCGGCGCGCAATAACCTTGCTTCCTTTTTGGCGCCGTAATGGGTGGCCGTTTTTGTCCCGCTGATGATGCCGCGCCGCGTCCACGGCCTCGGCACGCCTCTGGCACGCCTCTGGCGGACAGGCCTCCGTCACGACCACGGCCAGGGCCTCGGCTCGGCCTCGGCTCGGCCTCGGCGCCGAATCGCATTATTTGATGTGGCGGTAATGGATTCCGAATGGAACAATACGCGGTCATTTATTACCCGCACTTTGTGACCCGCTGACGGCCGGGTTGATCTCGAGCGAGGCGGGCCCGCTACCTTGCCCGCCACGCCCCGCCACGCCCCGCCCCACCCTCTACGGTGTTTTGCGGTGGTGGGGGTGAGGCAGCCCCATTCGTCTCTCTCAGCGGCCCTGACAAAGATGCGATGCTATCGTCGACGTTCGGCCCGTTCGGCCCGTTCGGCAGCGAGCGATGCCGTCCCGTCCGTCCGTCCCCCGATCCATTGGCCGCCGAACGGGCAGCCCGACGACTGGCCTGCAGCCTGGCCTGCAGCCTGGCCTGCAGCCTGGCCTGCAGCCTGGCCTGCAGCCTGGCCTGGCCTGCAGCCGTGGCCTGCAGCCTGGCCTGCAGCGCCTGCAGCCTGGCCTGCAGCCTGGCCTGCAGCCTGGCCTGCAGCCTGGCCTGCAGCCTGGCCTGCAGCCTGGCCTGCAGCCTGGCCTGCAGCCTGGCCTGCAGCCTGGCCTGCAGCCTGGCCTGCAGCCTGGCCTGCAGCCTGGCCTGCAGCCTGGCCTGCAGCCTGGCCTGCAGCCTGGCCTGCAGCCTGGCCTGCAGCCTGGCCTGCAGCCTGGCCTGCAGCTCGGCGAAGGGAACTCGGCGGGACAGGCCGAGCCCGCATTTCGCTGTGCTAGTACGGGCCTTCTCGTCAAACTGAAGTATGCGTGGTCGAACGGAAGAGAGAACGTGGTTGACTCTTTACATAGAACCAACCTGAAGTATTTCGCTAATTTTTGTCTTTCATCTACTTGACTGGCATGCTGTACAAAAGGTTGTAACGTGGAATGCACACTCTGATGCGTCTGTGGTGTCGTGGGGCAGGATGGTCGCTAATTAGAGTCCTATTTTTGCCATTCCTACTTTCTTAACGCAAGCCTGCCAAGCAGACGACAAAAAGAGCAACCTGCCGGTGCACCCTACGCCTACTTCATTTTCCAGTGTCGGGCCGAAGAGAGTAAATCGGCCTCGGGGAGTTGATCCACGTTTCCGCGGCTCGGAGGAGAACTTGGCGCGGCCTCTGCCTCTCGCCCTTGCCCTCGCCCTTTGACCGTGACTTTGGGCGTAATATTCGGTCCCGCATTGACTCTGCGGCCCCACAAATCAGGCAGTTACTCTCGAGAAATAGCAATTTGGCTCGGCGCGGCCCGCCTGCCCGGGCCCGGCGTGGCTTATTACAATACACCCATTGTGCGGGCCTGGTCCTGGCCTAGGCCACTCCGGCCGCGCCAGGCCGCGCCGCCCTCGCATGCAGCCAGCCTCAGCCTCGCCTTCCGGGGCTCGGCGGGGGCCTCGAAGGAGCAGCCTCCCCTTAGGGCTTCAATTCGAGTTCGGGTGGCTGAGCTGCGCTGAGCTGCCTGGATATATATTAGGCGGAAGCCAACAAGCCAACTCAGCCATGCGATGGGAAACCAAAGTTTGGTCGCTCCACCGCCCGCGGCGGGGCGGGGCAGGGCCGGGGCGCCGTGCGAAGTCGCCGCGGCCTTTAAAACGGCCCCCTTTTCAGCCGTGACCCATTTAGTCGAACTAGAAAATCAGGCTGGACCTTCCTGATTGCGCACTAAGTACTCATGAGTGTTCACACACTAACACACACACACACACCACGCGGGCGCACTCACGTGCTGACGTCATGGCTGGATAATGAAGTGAATTAGCGCACGCAGTTTGGCGACAGAAGGGCAGCCTTAATGATTCGCAGACCTAATCTGGTCTGTCTGTCTGTCTGTGTGCCTTTCGTCTGTCTGTGTGCCATCCGTCCGTCTGTCGGCCTGCTGCCTGCCTGTCCGCCCGGCCCGACCCCCCCCCCCCCCCCAACCCGCACGCGGTGAAGAAAGCCGTTTTGCAGAGCGAATCAAAAAGGCGAGCTCCTTTCTGACCAGCGAATTGGTCATTACGGTCGGAAACGGGCGTGGCAGTCCTTTTGTGCAAGTGCGCCCCGCCCCGCCCCGCCCCGCCCCACCCCGCCCCGCCGCACTGCACGCCTTATTACATCTTCTCCCCGAGCCCCTCCGGGCGGGTGCTGATGTGATGAGAGCGGATCGAGGCCAGGCCGGGCCGGGCCGGGCCGGGGGCAGGCTGCCTGCGCTGCGCCGCTCTTTGCCGGCCTTTACTTTCCAATAATGTCGTGGAATTTCGATTTCAATCTCGGCCGGAAATGTGAAAAAAGGGAAGAAGGTTGTGCTGCTTCATCTTCTCGGCGGACTCAGTTTGCGGGGGCCGAGCCTGGAGTGGACTCGCCTCTTACCAGGACCTGCCGACCTACCTGCGGGGCATGGCCGGGCATGCCTGTGCTGCACCCCGTGCTGCCCCGCTACATGCCCGCGGGGAGTGTGTCCCCGCAGACAGTGCTTTTAAGCAGGCCCTCCACCAGCGCGCTGTACTCGACGCCCTGCCATGCAGCTCCACGGCCCCCGGCTGGTTTGCCCTAGCCAGTGCACAGTGGGGCCACAAGACCGGCGGAGACAGTCGAAACTCTAGGCGCGGTTTGAGCCCCAGAGTCGCTAATAGGACTCGAACCGAACTTGTGACCCCACCGATGGATTCCTCGTTCGGAGAGGAATCCATTGTTGGGGTCAAACGTTTGGTTCGAGTCCCATTTAGCGACTCCGGAGCTCAAAACTTGTCCGGAATTTTGACCGCCTTCACCGATCTTCTGGCCCACTGTGGGGCGCTGCATGTAACCGTGTGCCCAACCTAACCGAGCCGTCTGTGCGAGCACTGTTAAAAGACCCCCAAACGAGACGCGGTGGTCTAATCAGCCTGTTCTGTTTGCAGACATCGTGCAGTCCGTGAAGGAGGGCGGGCGCATGCCGCTGCGGCCCGGCGTGGACCAGCTGTCGTGCGAAGACGAGGTCATGAACCTGATGCGGCGCTGCTGGGCCGAGGACCCGGCAGAGCGGCCCGACTTCTCCGTGCTCAAGCAGACCATCCGCAAGCTCAACCAGTGAGTACACACTCGTTTGGCGCCGCGCGCTCCGCTCCACTCGGCCCCGCGGTGGCCAAGGTCGTCGTGACGGTGCTCGCAGAACCTACCGCGGCTGGCGAGCGCACGCAACGGTTTTCAAACCGCGGCGCCGCAGTCTTCGTCTTTGTTGGTGTTTCTCCACCACCCCATCTGAAACAACGTGGACTTGACCTTGCCGGGGCGCAGCCGGGTTTTGTGATTTTGTTTGGACCCGATTCTCATTTCCTCCAGTTTCCAGGTAGCTGTTCAAACGTTGGCGGCTGTTTCCCGCCGGTCCGTCCGTCCGGCCCGATCCGTGCAAACGGATCCATATTGCTGTTGACCGTATTGCAGGCGGCACACTGCTGTCCGTGATTGCCGCTCCCAAATTGACTTGTTTTTGTCGAATTGGCGCTCCGCATTTAAATTAAAACGCTTTGAATCGCGCGCGCGCTCGGCCAAAGGCGGCCAAAGGCAGCCGACGGCGGCGCCGATATGAAAACAGCTGCGCGACGTTATTGCGCGCGAGGGAGGGAAAAAAAAGGAAGGTCGGCCGGCCGTTCGAACGGAGAGGCTGTCCATTCCCCGGGCACCAGTTTGCTTTTCTCCCTTTTATTAAAGACTATTTGAAGCGGCGCGCAAAATGTCGCCGTCGTAAAACATGGATGCGGGGCAAGCGGGGCAAACGCGCAATTCGGCGCGTGATTCAAATTTGCCGCCCCGGCAGTGGCGGTACCTGGACGGAATGGCGATGGAGCGGCGATGGCGCGGCGCCCTGCCCGATCGCCGATACAGGGGCTTTACGGTGTGGGGTATTAAAGCCATCGGCCGCGCCGCCGTGCCGCCTCAGCATCCACTCAACTAACACGGCGCCGCGCTGTTGGCCAGCCTGGGACTCTGTCTGTCTGTCTGTCTGTCTGTCTGTCTGTCTGTCTGTCTGTCTGTCTGACTGTCTGTCTGACTGTCTGTCTGACTGCCTGTCTGACTGTCTGTCTGACTGTCTGACTGTCTGTCTGTCTGCCTGACTGTCTGTCCGTCCGTCCGTCCGTCCGCCCGGGCCCACCATAAATACCCCGCCAAGTGAGGCCGTTGTAAAGCCCGCCCGGAACGGAAACGGATCGCACATACCGCGGCGGCGGCGCGGCCGAGATGCAGTATTTCTTTCTCCAGCGGCTCCAGGCCCAGGCTCTAGGCTCCGGACTCAGACAGGAAGAACCTGGCCAGGCGCGGCGAGGCCTAAGGCGGCCGGGGTGCGTCCCGGATCTCCCGCGGACCAACTTTTAGCGCCGGAGGGAAGTCCACGGCGGGGAAACGACGCCGTTTCCGCGGAACGCGAACAACGGCGCACTCCCACAGCAGTGTACATTTTTACTTAATTTTTTTCCCCATTTTCAATTTTATGTAGGGGTGTTTTTCGATGTTGGCCCTTAGGTTCTGTTTGTGATTCGTGGATGGTCTTTTTTTTTCGTTGCCGTTGTTTTGGCGTGGTTTTTTCTCTCTCCCTTCCCCAGGCTGTGCGGCCTGCGGCCAGCCTTGAGACAAGCAGCTATCAGGTTGCCCACTCAAGCGCGCACGGCCCGTGGCGTGGCTCGGCTGGCGTGGCTCGGCGTGGCGCGGCGTGGCGGGAAAGCTGTAGAGTGGCCGTGTGTTGTTAACACGGCCCCGGCCGCCCCCGCGCGCCAGCCATGCCATGCCGCCTGCCTGCCCCGGGCCCGGCCGGCCGGTCTACCTGCGAGGGATGACTTGTAAAGGCTTTTACGAGCGGGTGAAAACCATCAGCGCGCCGGTGGTGCTCGACACATGTTTTATTCAGGGGACGCGCGTTAGGTATTGAATGCCAATCGGGCTGTTGTTGCTGCCTCCCCCCCGCAGCCCGCGCAGTGCCGCCATTGTCCCCTGCTAGTATTCGAACCCGGGGTCGGGCAGTGCCGGCTTGGAGGCCACGCGCGCTGCCGGCCGCACGCTCAGGCGCGTCATTTAAATTAATTATTTGTAGTGTAGTGTGCCGGTCCTGCACGCCGCGACGGCGGGGCGGCCGGGATGGCGGTCGGGATGGCGGCGTGCATTCCGAGTGGGGCACGGCCACCAAGACCGGCAAGGCGCCAACTCCAGAGGAGCCGGACCGCCCCGCGCGAGTCGCCACCGCCGTGCAGCAGGACCTCGAGCAGGACCGCTCCGAACAGCGTCGTCCTCTCTCTCGCACTCGTGGGGCTCTGCGGGAGCGTTGCGCTGGGGCGCGAGGGAGACGGCCTTTGTCGGGGTGGGGGGAGTCAATTAGCCCGGTTCCGGCACTCCGCTTGTTGTTGATGCTCGCCGTCCTTTTCGATCCAAGGCTGCTTTCCATGAGGGAAAAATCATTACCAGAGGCGAAAGGGGCCGACCGACCTGCTCGGAAGGAGCGCGCCCAGTGTGTCTCCGTGTCTCCGTGTGGGCTGGCCCGATGGGCTGGCCCAATGGGCTGGCCAGTGCCGGTGGCGCTAGTGGAGGTCGATACGTGCCGCCTTACTTGTCGCCTTGCGTGCGCCCGAGTCCTTAAGGTCGCCTCGATTTCGGACGGAGATAGCTCGGACCGCGGCCAAAGCGGCAAAGCCCGCGACGGGGAAAAAGCGGAGTCGAATTAAGAACGCCGCGCGAGTAAACAGAATCCCGCACTTTTTAAAACCTGTCCTTAAAAACCAAACAGAAAGTTTCACTGAGCGCTGTCAAGACCAGCACGGTGACGCGGGACAGAAACAGAGGGAAAAGAGCCACTGACAGGGAGAAAGCGGCGGCAGAAAAAGAAATACTGTCTTATCTGTGCGACAAGTAATGTTTAAGCCTCGCCACGCACAAAACGCCGCTGACGGCAGTATTTGTGGTGTCGCGCCTCCCCTCTAACTCTCCCCTGCCTCGCCCCTCCCGCCCCCTACCTCGCCTCTACCCCCCCCCCCCTTTCCCCCGACTCCCCTGCCCGGCCGCACCTGCCCTGGAGCCGCCAGCCAGCAGCCAGCCAGCCGGCAAAATGCTCCCGTCCTTTACACAGCCTACACTGAAAGATAAAAAAAAAGCTGCGTGAAGAATTAGCTGCACGCATGCTATCTTCGCGGCGGCGGGCAGCCAGCCGTGCAAGCGGCGAGCAGTCTCCTTCCTTCACGACACCGTAAAAGAGGCCGACAAGCGCGGCGTCCTGGCGGCGGCGTTGTACCCCGTGTCCTCCTCCACTCCGTGCTTATCGCCGTGCCCGCGTGTCGCCCTCCTTTCCCAGTGGACGTGATGCGCCGTGCCACGCCGTGCTGTGCCGTGCCGCGCCGTGCCGTGCCGTGCCGTGCCGCGCCCACGCCTCCACACACAATCTCATTTCCGGCCCATCATGCCTCGTATTCATGCCCTGGCCGCGCGGTTCGAGTCAACCTTGCGGCGCCTAGCCTGGATAATGGAGCATTCAGACAAAAAAGAGAGCAAACGACGTGAAAAGGAGAGAGAAAAAAAAACACGTGAGGTTTGCTTGCTGTAAAATGGTGCGGTGCTCGCTGGGTCGGTCCGGTCCGGTCGAGGCCATCCCTGCGTCCTGCGCGGTCCTGCGTGCTGCCGGGGTCCCCAGGGAGGCGCGCGCGGCCCGGGACGTCCGGGACGTGCGGACCACCAATTTCTCATACTTCAATAAAAAGGATTTTATTTTTGTTTTTTGTGTTGCTGGAACTGTAAAGGCGGGGTCGTGTTTTTTTTTCTCATTTCGCTCACTCCAGCGAATCGACCTCTACTTCTTGGGCGGGGCGTTTGAGTGGGTCCACGGTCCGCCGCTGGGTCGCTGGGTCGCCCTTCACCCCGCCACGTCCAGCCCGGCCCGGCCAGCCCCGGCCAGCCCCGGCCTTGACACTTCCCCGGGCGTTGCGACAGGTGTAAGTGCAGCCCGCCGAACTACGGCGCGGGGCGGGGCGGGGCGGCGCGGGGCGGAGGCGTTCCAAACGGGCGGAAGACAAACTCTGGAGTCCCGGAGCAAGGCGACGTGAGGGGAGTGACTGGGGCTGCCTCGGCCTGCCTCGGGCCTGGCGCGGAGGTGTGTCTAACAGCGGCCTCCACCTCGCCGCCGCTTGCCGCCGCTTGCCACGCCGACAAGGTCTTCCCGAAAGCAAAGCCCCCGTTTTATTCCCGGCATGCCCTGCCCGTCTCACTGCGTCTCACTCGGCCTGCCTCCACTCCGAGTCTCGAGGAGCGAGTGTCGAAGGCCGCCGCGTCTGCAGACTGACTCTCGAAATGAGTCTGCTCGATTTGACTGACGTCGGAATGTGTTTTCGGTTTTGGCGCGGACATGTCCAGGCGCACGCCTGCACGCCTGCTTGCCATTCCGCGAGCACCCCCACAAGTTCGGGGCCTCGCCCGGGCGGCGCGGGGCGGCGGGGCCTGCCTGTCTCTTCCCGTTCCCTCGCACCCTTTGTGGCCGACCCTGACCCGCCACGCCCGTCACCCCGTGCCCGCTGCTTGCACCGCGCCGCACCGCGTCAACCCGGAGTCCTTTAACCTTCCTCTCCGGCCTGGCCTAGCCGAGGGCCCCGCCTGGCCCGGCCCGCATCTCAATGGGAGCGAACTCCAACACCTGGTGGGGCCTGCCCTGCCTGCCCTGCCTGCCCCGCTGGTTTGCCGTCGTGCCCCCGGGGTCCTGGTCCTGGCCCTCGGCGTGGGCGCACAGGCCCGCCCGGCCGCCTCGCTCGCTCCCTCCCACATGCCAGCCAGGCAGCGAGGCTGCTGCCTGCAGATGTTTACATTGTGCCGAGATCAGATACGGAGTACCCTGCGAATAGGGCCGCGGGGGAGTGCTCGTTATTTGCAGTTAGCAAACGAAATCTCATCCATCTGTTTCGCAGCGCAATATCAATCACATTCCCGGAGTGAGCAGCAGCGCCAGCAGCGCCGTGCCCCCGGCCAGAGGGAGGCTGGAAATGAAATGGGCAGAGCAAAAGCAGGCACCGGGCACGCCGAAGCACGCCGGAGCACGCCGGAGCACCCGGAAGCTGAAACGCACC